AGATATGAGTTTTCAAAAACCGTCACAATGTAGTACAATGTACTACCGGTAGTACAGTGTGCTCCTATCCATTAATATAAAAAAAATAAGATTATAAAAATTTTTTAAGTATATATTTTTTAAAAATTTTAATCGATTTTTTTAAATGTACTAGATTTAGTACAAATTGATAAATCCAATCCATTAATAATAAAATCAATGCAAAATATTATACAAATTAGATTTACATAATTAACTTCTAAATCAATGATAAAATTAATAATAAATCAGATTAAACCGTGAAATTTGAACTTAACTATTCTTAAAGTTTTACCACGAAATCTCGGCATCCAAAATCTCGAAAACCATAATCCCGAAGTGACAATTAATATTTAAAGATTAATCATCGCATTAACAATCATTGTCAGACTTTAAATTTTTAATTGTCACATCGCGTGATGTAGTATTATGGCCTGTCGAGATTTGGGATGTCGGGATTTTGTGGTAACACCTATTCTTAACCAGAACCATATTTAACCAGAATCATAATTAACTAGAACTTTTATTTGAACCAAGTCTTAACAGTTATTTTTAAAACTACTTTACAGAAACTTGAATATCTTAATGCACGGTAACTGCATAGTGACTATATAATTTTAATAGTAACTATATAGTTACTACATAGTTACTATGTAGTAACTGCGCATTAAGACATTCAGGTTTCTGTATAGTATAACATCCCTAGGTGGCAATAAAAATTCTTTAAAAAGATGTAATATATTATATAAAGGAAAAAAAAGCCATTATTCTTTTTATTAATATAAATATGAGATTAATAAAATGCATCTCAAATATACTTGTAAATAAGTATTAAATTCGTAAACATTTGTAAAAATTACAAATAGATACTTGTGGTTGGTCCCGAAGGATGACCTGATTAAAATATTTTCATAGTTGTAAATATTGTCTTCATAGTTGTAAATATTAACCTCAAAATATAATGTAAAATAAAAATTTCAAATTAACAAAATTTCCAACAAATATTGTAATAATATGAATATATAAAAATACTACTAGTGAACATATAATAAAAACAATTTAGGTAAATATTTCATTAGTGACAGAACTTAAAATTACACTTGTCATTAAGTTTTCTGACTCTAAGAAATGAAGAGGGAATGTAACTAAATGTCCTCGAATATTGTCCAATTTTTTTACATCATAGTTGTTTGAAATTGCTACATGTCCTTTATCAACGATTGTTGGATTTGGTACAAAATTTTCATATTCGCTCCAATTAGTGACTTATAAATTATTGATAATATGTTATTATAATTATAGTTGTAATAATAGGGAATAAATAAAACAGAGATAAAACATACCATTATCATCGGGGATGCATTTAAAAACTGATCTATAAATAGCAGTATTATTTCGTGCAATGTTTTGCCAATAATTGTAAAATTCATCGGACAACGGATCCATAACAATTAAGTCTTCTTTCGTAGGATGATTAGGCTCTGAATTGGTCATTAGTTCATCCAAAATTGATGTGGATGAAGCATCCCTATCATGCAATAATTCCTTTAATACGTCAGGTTGAATAGGTGCTAAACTGCTTTCGGTAACTGCTGCATGATCTTGAGGTTTAATACGACCCAAAAATTCTTTGAAAAGATTGCTGCGTAGTGTATATGCAAATTTTGATGCCTCGTACTAAAAAGGTTCAATGATTATTATTCACATATATATCAGACATGAAATAGATTTTTTAAGAATAAATAAAACCTCTTGTCCATTCATGCGTGTTGGAACCGTTTGCTTATCTTCAACAAGAATTGCTATTTCCGAATCACGATGGCCTAGTTGTGATCTGTCATTTATATTGGCTATTTAAAAACAATTACTAAATTATATTAATTATAATTTTCTAACATTGTATCTTTGGAAATAAATTGATTTTGCTTACAAACCTGAACCAATAATAACATATTTATCATCAACAATCATCAACTTGCTATGAATATATATTTCTTCTGTAATATAAGAATGCTTTGGATCTGTATCTATCATGCCAGCGGGTATGCCTGGCTCGCCTCCGATTCCTTTTAAAGAAGACTTCGTTTGTTCATCAGAGTATGAATCTGTACTAATATCATCATGATGTGATGGCTGCGATTCATCTAACATTTCATTCTGCTTATCTTTAATAAAACCATTAGGTACACTAAGATCGTGCTCCTTATGTTTGATTTTGTCATAGCCGCGCAATGCGAAAAATGATATGTAGTTTTCCGGCTCTATACCAGCTCGTTTTATTTGTTCTAATATAGATTTACCACCTCGACAAATTGAGACATATTGCCAATGCATCACCATGCTATAATCAATATTTATGTAAGTGTCAAATATGCAAATAACAATTAACAAATAAATAAATGGGATATTTGCTAGGAAAATGACCCTCCAAGGCTATGTTGATTTTATGAATAAATATTAAATTTGCAAGTTTTTTTTTTATTTGTAGATTCTATTGAGATTTACAAAATAAAAAAAAAAAGTTCATTCAAATTGGATGACTATATGGCTGGCAAATTTAATTTTTATTCATAGCCTCGGAGGGTCATTTTCCTAGCGAAGATCCCAAATAATACGAATATATATTACCGAATCGTTCCGGCATCTTTAGAATTTAAATCCGCCTCAAACCCGGGTAATAAAGGCATGATAACAATAATACGGAATTTCTCGCCATCTTGATGTGCTTTTATTACACGTTCAACGATAGACTATTTTAAAAACCAATGAGTTAAAAGTTACATACTATTTTTAATTCACGTAAGAAACTTCAACCTTGCCAATCCTGTTTTTAACAGCATAATTTGGATCATCTTCTGTTGATGTAACTGATAGAGAGAAACATTAATTAATATCGCATAGCATAAAAAATATCAAGATTTTCAAAAAACTTACCAAAGAATTGATTTTCAATATAAATATAATGCTTAGCATTCCGGATTAAATGTTGATATGCGCTGTATATAGAACTCTATATGAATAACATCTAGTTAAAATTAAGCTCTCTCTAACAAAATTTAGAGTTGATAAAAAAAGCCAGATGTGTAGCACATCATATTCTTTACCTCGACTTCAATTCCCATACTCCAGGCTGCACTACTACGTAAAATTTGAACATCACAAGTTCCCTTGAACCTGGATTCATCACGGGTGCTGACATATTCACCCTTCGGCAACAAAAATGGTAATGATTCGCGTTCAAACGATTTTTTATCTTTAATGAAATTCCATCTTTGAACAAAATGCCGGGCAACGTCACGAGCTGGTGTACCGACCTAATAATCATAACTAACTATTAATTGCAATCAATAAAGAAAACCATAAGCGTGATAAACTTGCCATGCCGACGGAAACATCGTGCCAAGGCATACGTGGGTAACGGGATTTATCGACTATTTCATTCTGATACTCAACGACTATTGATTTTAAATTATGCCAGAAATAATTATTATAAATTAATGAAAATGAACGTACGTAACAATTATATTTAGTCATTAAAAATTCCAAACCCTTACCATTTTGAAAATCTTTTATTCTTGGATTTGAATAATCTTGACCGGGCCATATTGTTGGGCCTTTCGTATTTTGAGGCCAGTCGGATAGCTCATGAGAATGAGTATCGTAACGTCCAAAACATAAATCTAAACCACCAATAAATGCTATACGACTGTCAACCACCACAATTTTCTAAAAAAATTTAGGTGATAACAAATCATGCTTAGCTAATAAAAGAATTCATAAAATGATTATTAATCATATAATATTAAATTAGCTACTACCTCATGATGCTATGTAAATATATTAATAGTATTAATAGTATTAGTAGTGATGTAAGCTCATTAGTAAAGGTATTAAAAAGCTTAAGAAATCGACTTACCGCCCAGAATATTGTTCCTTCAATACCATGATCAGGATGTCTTTGTACTAAAAGTTTTTACATATAAAAATTAACATAGAGATAATAAAGATTCTGGGCTCAAATTTGATAAAAACCTTTAATATTTTTATGACACCCCTGAAGGTAAAATTTGGTATGATGAGAATCCAAAGGTAGAGCAACAGTAACTTCTTTATATACAATAATGTAAATCATCACGCCTTCTTCAGCCTTCTTTGTTAATAATCTATCTAGCCGGAATTCTTCGTTTTCAGAAGGCGGTCGGCGAAGATACTGATTAATAAAATCCACAATTAGTATACATGAAAGAAAATCTTTAAAATTTATTATTAAACGATTAAGGAAAAGCTCACCAATTCAGGAGACAGCCACCAATCTTCAATATATATCTCCGATTTTGCAGCCAATAAAGCCTGTGACACAGCAAAGAAATAATCTTTGCCATCGACATACCATTTAACCTTTGCATTCTCTCTAATGGGAGCAAATGAATCGTGTTGATGTTGTTTAACCCATGGAGAAGCATTTTGAATAGTTTCAATACTATTCATAAAGTCCTTTAAAACATATGAATCAGTTTTAATTTCAATTCGGCGCGAACTATTTTTGATTTCAATATGCTCATGAAATTGTAACACATGAGAAAGTCCTTGCGGAGCCAATTTATTGCATTTAAAATGTTTGTCTATAAGAAAAACATCCGCAGGGGTCGTTGAACTAATGTTTGAACAAAAGGCAATATATCTAATAATGATAAAATTATTAGGGATTATATAACCAAAAATATATACACATTATACCCAGACCCAGTGTTGAAAATTCGGATGTGCGGATCCAATCAAATTGCTTGATTTCAGAAATCAAGCAATTTGATTGGATCCGCACATTCGAATTTTCAACACTGCCCAGACCTCCCCCTACAATTTAACTACTGTATAAATTATCTCTAAATGCATGGTCTTATTTATAAAAGATATGTATAAAGTCAACTCTTTCTATAACGAACTGACGATCCCGGAAGGAAAAAAAAAAAAAGATTGTTATACCGGTGTATCAAAAGTCCCTATACATGGTCACTTTTTTTTTAAATGACTCATAGAGATCACGATGCAATATTCATAATAATCATCATGATCATTATATATAGTGTCACCTAAAGAAAATAGGACTAAGTATAGGGACTTTTGATACACCGGTAGAAAATTACTATGTTTCTTAAGGACCCAGAACTATTATATCCAGAGTTGACTATATTTTGCTCTCCATAAATAATACCCTAAGTGGACAATATTGTCTCATATATTTAATTATAGTAAGGATACGAATCGCGAACTATAATCCATCTTCGTTCCCACTTTTCGTTTGCAAATCTAATTGAACAAATAGGATGTTTATATCGTTCAACTTTGTGTTCCATATAACCTTCTTTACCTTTCCATCCCATATCTCTAGTAATGGAAATCGCACTAAGTTCCAAAAATTCGTAAAGTTCATAAGAAACAAGAAGATGCAACCACAGTTCTTTTATCACACTAATGAGATATTTTTCTAATTCCTTTCGCCTTTCAAGAGCAGCAGAATGACTTGTATCATTTGAATGAAAGATCTTAGATTTGAACCATTTGGAAATTCCGGAAGGAAATTTTGGTATCCAATGTGAAAATTCAGATCTTCGTGTCAGATTAACATGAAGACTCATAAAATCAAAACCAGTTCGATTTACTACCCATTTGACATCACCATATGCTAATTCGATTCTGAAAACACTTAGCCAATTGTGTGATAACGGATCTCTTTTAGAGTCAGTGATCGCAAGCTAGATAAATTATTATTATTATGATTGTAGGGATTAATATATACACTTTTTTTTTTTTTCCTGCTATGAAAAAAAAGAAAGTCAACATACTTTCAGCATATCGATAATGACAGGAGGCTGGATTTCCGATATTCAAATGGTAATATAAGTTGAAAGTGATAGAACGAAAATGACGATTCCTGAAATGTCTGACGAAAGAATGTCAGGAATACGTCACAACATATATAGGCATATATAAAGAATTAATACCGCTTTACGCCCTTTATGATCTCTCCTTAACCATAAAAATGGTACAACAGTTAAAGATGTAGTAAGATTACTCCGACCTTCACCAACTTCATGTAATTGTCTACCATCACCCTTTGAAAATCTTAAGTTGACGGTTGCCATATTAATAACATGATGAAAACGTTTTCTCAAATTTCTTTTTCGTGTAGATTCTACATAACATATTTGCATATTTAAAGTAAAAATATATAATATATTATTTGATACATTATATAGGAAAACTACCTTCTATCTCAGTTGTTTCTGGAGATTCGTCTAACTCTGTTTGAGAAGGGATACGTTTTATATAGTCAGGATGTTCAGGACGCTGTTCTTCAATGTAAGGAGCCGATAACTGAGTTTCCGAGGGACTTTCAGGTTCTTCAACTCGACGAGAACGAGAACGAGTAACTGGACTTGGAGGTGAATCTTCTCCAAGCATCGAATAAAAATAGTTCAACATAGACTTTTGCCAAATCGGAATGTCGTCATTCTCAGAAGGACCTTGGTCAGCATTTAACCAAGCTAAAGTCCTTTCACTAAGATTAACCTGTTTATCTGGTATTTCTTTTGTTCCAGTACCATTTTGGTTATTAGAAGAAATATTGTCATCCATTTCAATGGAGAAGAAAAATTAATAATTGCATATCGACATTGACATTTTTATTTTATATTTTATTTTATTTTTTTTGTTTTTAGAAATATGATTTATGTGTTACGTAGCTTGTACCGGTAGATGCAACCAATCAAAAAGGTAAAATATACACTACAAAAGGAAATTAAATATTCAACGGCGTAAATCGATTAACTTATACCGATACAATTTACTTTTAAGAACGTAACGTTTCACTATGTAATAAAAAAAATTACGACGAAAGCCATCTCTCGCTTCTATTTCTGTATTTAATAAGTTAAGTAAAAAAAAAAACATGATTGCGAAAAGGCATACTTGTACAGCCAACTATCGATAACAGACACCCTTACATCTAGGGTTGGCAAATGACCTTTAACGTTAAATTATTTAGATAACAATGACTAGGTTATTATAAGTGTTGTTACAAAACTTTGCTGGTCAAAATGGTCTGGTCAAATTGGTCAAGTCTATTACTGTATATGAATAGCTAAATTTACTATTTGACCAATTTGACCAATAAAATTCTTGGACCAGACTGGTCAAATAGTCAAATTGGTCTGGTCAAACCAACACTATTTGGACATCTCAATCCTAATGACAAATGACTACCAGGGTAAAAATTGCGTTAGTGATATTAACGTTATTATTGACATGAAATATGTATTAAATTTGATTGTACCGGTATGTTATTTTTTTTGTTAATTTCAAATTTTGACTAAATAACAAATGATACGTACGCGTGCACTTATTTGTGCGAGTGATACAAATCCAAAAGGGAAATTAGCCAATCGGAGAACGTAAAATGTGATTATCCAGGATCAGCCCGACACGTGAACGAAGCGAAGAAAAACGAAAGCGAAAATAAAAACGTTTATTTCTATAGCATCTAACTTCAGCGTTCTAACCCTAAGTTTTTATTTTCACGTTGAATTTCCTTTTTGGGTTTGCGTCACTCGCACAAATAAGTATTTCCGTCATTTGACATCTGGGATCGCTACGTAAGAAAATCACGTATTATAGTAATATTACTTGATTTTCTATCAAAGATTCCAATTTAGGGAGTCGTCTAAAGCGAGAACAGGATCGCCAACAAAAATTATATGTACCGGTAACTATAATAAAATTTTTACGATCACGTGATGATATACAACAAATTATCCAACAACAAAAAAAAATTCCTTGAGAAATTTTACTATATTCCTCTTAATCTCCAACCTTAGTTTAAACGCCAACCCTAACATAAAAGAACTTAAACAATTTTATCGATCATCGCAAAAATTTTGTTGGCGATGCTGGGAAAGATTATACGTATATGTGACAATATCACATGAGCAGTAATACCCTATCGCTATCTCTAAAATAAATCAAATCTGAATTGAAATTTCGTTTAACAAGATTTTTTAATCGCTTTTTTTCAAAATCCCTCTTTATTCTCCAAATAATAACTGAAAAAAAAAACCGATGAAATAAAAAAATAAGAATTGGTGAAATTTTTGAGCAGCAATAAAACTTT